CTTCCTCCAAGGTAGAAATCTAAAGTGACATTTTCACCTGGAGTACATTCTATTGTATTATTCTGAACACGAAATCCGCTATTAGACATTCATGATGTATAAATAATAATAAATTAAGTTTATATATAATGTATAATATATGCATGTATAGAATTATGATTATAAATATTTTACCAATCACGCAAAGGACCAGATTGACCACGAGTACAAGGTTCCGTTACAAAGGACAAATTATTATGTAACGTATAATTTATATAATCATAATTATTGGAATCCCAGTTTTTGATAAAATTACATTTTACTCGAGAAACAGGATATCCGTATGAGGTAGTATAATTAGTCAACTCCCATTGAAGATCATTGCTACTGTTTAAAACCAAACTTCCCTCACAAAGAAAACCTAATTAGCAATAATTAACTTATAAGATATAATTTTATTAAATGTATTCAATATTAAACAAAGCAACATACCATCCGGATTTAAAGTGTCACTTAAATGAGACGTTTGTGCAGGTAAGCCAGTAACATCGATCCATTGACAACCCTACAATACTGCTTTCGACCTATGTCTTAAAATCTCTTAAATAATTTTACCAATGTAATCTATTGCATATTTTTAAACATTATCCCTTTTAAGGATACTAGCAGTACTGTATATATATTTTTAGTTAAAAGGGAGTTAGAAATGAGTATGTTGTTTAGTATTGTTTGTTACAAATTAATAGTGTAATATTTTTTATCGATTTCATAGAAAAAATGCCAAAGCAAATTACGTCATACAACATCCTCTGGCGATTACATCAGGGGTTTCAAAAAAAAAATGCTAGCGCATTGAATTGCATTAATGATTGTGAGGAATTGTTTAGGGTTTATTTCATAGTCCTATACATTTATTTATAAACAACTTGTATAAGGGATAGTCGTATATTATGGTACTGTACATTTAAGAGTTGCATATATACGTAAAAATTTTCAGAAAAAGCGTATTTGTTTATAAAATTTAACAAAAGAAAATAACATTCGATTACTGTCGAATGATAAAAAATAAAAAATCAAAAAATCGAATTTTTAAAAAAAAAATTTGAAATTAAACTTTTAATAAACTAAAATGTTTTTAAGGTTAGAGGTTTGGATATTGTCCGAATAAAGAAATAACTATTTAAATTATAAGAAAAATCGAGCATATGAATAATATGTGAACCATAATATTTGACATTCATTAACTTTGTTGTTCAATTTTTATTGTCTCAATGATATGATCGAATGATATTAATATAATTTCTGTTTAACGAGATATCTCTGAATAAACCTAAGTGCGCCAAATTACCCACTGTCGGGATCAGAATACTGGATAATCGTGATTGCATAAATGATTTAAATAGTGTAATGTTAGTTTTGTATTGGGCTTATCGTGAATTCTATAATGATTTGCTGTAAAAAGTTCGATTGCAGTACTTACAAATATTTTGGTATTGGACTTATCATGATTTGTATAATGATTTGCTGTAAAAGTTCGGTTACTATTTTGAATAGATTACGCAAACCGGCGTCTTTTCTAGGAAAATGTTCAAAAAAAAAAGTTTGGTTACTGTACTTACGAGTACTTACTAGTAGCGCGAAAGTTATAAAAGCGCTGAATCTTTGCTTTAAATAAAGAACAACTCAGAAGAGTTCGACTCAATTAAGAGTCTGTTATTCTGACTTAAACGTTTCGCTCGATTACCCCCCTGATAATATATAGTTATTGGATGCGAAGCAGCCAATAACGGAAATTATTGTAAAGTAATTTCATTATCTGGCTGTGAAATTTAATATGTCAGCTTCTGGGGCCCGAAGGGGCCCAGAAATGATACATATTAAATTCACTGCCAGATAAACAAGTTATTGGCTGCGTAGCATACAATAACGGTATTATCCGGTGGTTTACGACGATTGTGCTTGCCAAACGACTCGAGTTTTTGGTAGTGATTATGTAAGCTGCCAAATAACGAAGTTATTTGGCAGATGACATAATCACTGCCAAATAACTCGAGTTATTTGGCAAGCACTATCATAGTAAGCTGCCGGATAATAAAGTTTATATTTCATTATATTAGCTTAAACTATTATGAAAAGTTTATTACCACCCAATCGTTATTACTTTCTATGGCGTCACGAAAGGTATACAAGTAATTTAATTTTTGAAGTTATCAATATTTCAAATAATGATAAATTACCCATCAAATCGAACATAAATTTATCAAATCGAATATAGATATCAATGGATATTATAACATGGTCTTACAATATGCTAACGATGGAACCTTACGAGAATACCTAATGAAAAATTCGACGAAATTACAATGGACAGATAAACTATCGATTGCTAAGGAAATAGCACTCGGACTCTTATTTTTACATAATAATATTCATAGAGATTTGGTAAGTACTATGTTATATTTATATTTATCAGTTTTCTGTTATTAATTTACTAATAAGTACTTTACTAATACATACTTTAATCATTATATTATAATAATTTAGCATTCGAAAAACATCTTAATCCATCAAAGACAACCAAAGATTACAGATTTTGGACTATCAAAGCAGATGAATGAAATTTCTAAGACTTCAAACTCAATTGTTTATGGAATGCCGGCATATATCGAACCTCAATGTCTTATTAAACAAGGATATAAGCGTGATAAGAGATCAGATATTTATAGTTTTGGGATTATCCTCTGAGAAATTTCAAGTGGTAGACCTCCACTAATTATTTATTTTCCTAGCATGTTTTTTATTTTAGCAGATTTTTGAAAATAAATAAATGCCTTATTTTCATCTTTTTCAATTCCAATTCCGTTTTGATAACAATATCCAGTAAAAAGTGCTCCATAAGGTTCTCCCATCTCAGCAGATTTTTTATAATATATAAATGCCTTATGTTCATCCTTTTCAACTCCTGTTCCATTTCGATAACAAGATCCTAGATTGTAAGTTCCTTTAACACTACCTTTGTCAGCAGATTTATGAAAATAAATTAATGCCTTATATTCATCTTTTTCAACTCCAATTCCATTTAAATAGTAATTTCCAAGTTTGTTCATTCCTTTAGTATGTCCAATTTCTGCAGATTTTTTATAAAAAGTGAATACTTTGCATTCATCCTTTTCAACTCCAATTCCTCTTTCATAACAATACCCAACTTGATAAATTCCATCTTCAGTTCCCAAATCAGCAGACTTTTGATAGTAGGTTAATGCTTTATGTTCATCCTTTTCAACACCAATACCCTCTAAATAACTAATCCCAAGATTATGTATTGCATCTGCATTTCCCATTTCGGAAGATTTCTGATAATAAATAAATGCCTTATGTTCATCCTTTTCGACTCCAATCCCATAGCGATAATAATATCCAAGTTGGTTCATTCCTTCAGCGTTTCCCATCTCAGCAGATTTTTGATAATTCTTGGCTTCATCCTTTACAACTCCAATTCCATTTTGATAACAGTGTCCAACATTACAAGTTCCATCAGCATTTCCCATGTCTGCTGATTTTTGGTAATAAACAAAAGCTTTATATTCGTTTTTTTCAACACCAATTCCATATTGATACCAGAATCCAAGTTTATTCATTCCTTCAGCATGATTCATCTTGGTAGAATTTTGAAAATAATGACCGTCAAGATTAGACATTTCTTCAATCTCCATCTCAATGGATTGAGCATGTTTATCATATTCTTCTTCACTAGAATTAGTCTGAGAGATCTGGAATGGATCTATGACAAGTAAACTTTCTGTGTTCTCTCGGTAATCTTTAGAAAAATTGAAGGAAAATGTAAGTTTGACAAAAATTATCGAAATAATCTTGTGATAGCGATAAATTAATGTACCTAGGCGACTCGATTGCTTCTCGAGATTTGTAGAGTTTAGGGTGTCTAATTATGTGCTTACATATATTGCACTCGGATGCATTTCATAATGAGGTTGCGTGAATACTAAATCATTAATCATTTCATCAGCCTCTTTAATTTGTACAATGAATTCAGTTTGTTCATTGTTTGAAATTTGATTGTTCCAAATGTTTATAGTGTCATCTATTTTTTCCGAACTTGGTCTTTTGTCTGGCTGAACATCCCAACATTTAATTATCAATTCAGCTATTAATTCTGGTACGTATGTCGGAATCTTTGGACGCATACCATTATAGATTTTACGCGCCAAATTAATATCATGTGGGATATCATGAGATGTTGGAAGACCTGATACTATTTAATATGCTATAATACCAAAAGAGTACACATCAGATGCCATGCTAAACTGCTTGTAGTATAATACTTCAGGTGCTATATAGTGCATTACGCCATATAGTCCATTATCTGATCCTATATTAGCTAATGTTGAAAGTCCTAAATCTGCTATATATGCACTATGAAAGCTATTTAGCAATATATTCCCACTATGTAAATCTCGATGAATATATTTTTTGGAATGAATTATCCTAAGATCAGAAGCTATGGAGCTCAATAAAGTTAACTTCTTTTTCCACTCCATTTGTGAGATAGCATAAATTAATGCATACTCCATAACAATGACGTAATCTTTAGAAAATTCATCTTTTGAAATGCCCAAGCATTTTAAAAAAGTCAGATCTTCAATACAAATATCACAATAAGCCTTCAGCTAATTAAAAAAAAAAAGAATATAAAAATAAATTTATTATAGATAAATTTAACTGAATGATCCTTATATAAATTCACCTCATTCATAAATTCTCTTATACACATCTTTGAACTAGAGTTGGCCCCGAAACCCTTTCCACCAAAATCCGAAAGTTTCGGGTTTCGGATTATAGCTTCCGAAACCTTATCC